ATGATGACGTCATTGGGCTCCGCCCACTCCTCTTCAGGCTCCGCCTCCCCCAGGCAGCGACGAATCAGATCGCCCCACAGGAGGTGGGCGTGGCACCTGGGGGCGGGGTCAGAGTCAGGACACGCCCCCTTTGGACAAGCCCCGCCCCCTGGCAGCCATATTGGAACATTTGCATATAAGGGAAATGCAAATTAAGACAATCCCCACTCCATGGCAGCCATATTGGATTCTTTCCTTATAAGGGAAATGCAAATTAAGACAAGCCCCAGCCCCTGGCAGCCATATTGGAATATTTCCTTATAAGGGAAATGCAAATTAAGACAATCCCCACCCTCTGGCAGCCATATTGGATTTTTTCCTTATCAAAGAAAATTAAAATTAAAACAAGCCCCGCCTCCTAACAACCATCTTGAAACATTTCCTTATAAGGGAAATGGAAATTAAATCAAGCCCCGCCCCCTGGCAGCCATATTGGATTTTTTCCTTATTAAAAAAAATTAAATTTAAAACAAGCCCTGCCCCCTAACAACCATCTTGAAACATTTCCTTATAAGGGAAATGCAAATTAAGACAATCCCCACCCCATGGCAGCCATCTTAGAACATTTCCTTATAAAGAACATGCAAATTAAAACAAGCCCTGCCTCCTGGCAGCCATTTTGAATCCTTTCCTTATAAGGGAAATGCAAATTAAGACAAGCCTCGCCCCCCCTGGCAGCCATATTGGAATTTTTTCCTTATAAACAAAATCTAAATTAAAACAAGCCCCGCCCCCTGGCAGCCATCTTGGATTCTTTCCTTATAAAGAAAATTAAAATTAAAAGAAGCCCCGCCCACTGGCAGCCATCTTGGATCCCTCTTGTATAAAAATATTAAGATTAAAAACAAGCCCCGCCCCCTGGAAGCCATTTTGGAACCTTCCCTTAAAAGGTAAACCTCCATAAAAACCAAGCCCCATCTTGGATAATTTACATATAAGGAAAACCACTCTAAACAACAAGCTCCGCCCCCCCAGCATTAAGCCCCGCCCCTTTTTTACCCGGGACAGGCGCCCCCTATTGGCAGCAGCTGCTGCGGCTCCGGGGCCAGGAAGAGCCGGGCCAGGCACGGGGGATGGGCGGCCATCTTGCACTGGGGGTGGGGACAGCGCAAAAGGGGCGTGGCCTGTTCCTGAAACATCGAAATGCCGAAATTTCCTGCTCAGGCTGCATAAATTTGCATAAATTTTGCATTTTTAAAAGGTTCTATCTCTTTTTTCTACATCACGGTGATTAATTAATGACATTCAGGCCATGCCCACACCCAAATTTCCATGTTTTTGCATATTTAAGTCCCAAATTTCTACAAATTTTGACTTTTTCCAGTTCTATGAAAGCTACGCCCCTTTTAGACCACACCCAATATTAAAATTACCTTTAGCCTCACCCCTTTTCTACTCCACCCATTTATTCCCCTCCCTATTAGAACATATTCAAATTACACCACGCCCACTTTACATCCCTCCCACCTCATTAATTCACTTGGAGCTCCACCCATTTAAGCCCCATTTATTTAAGCCACACGCCTTTCACCCATCCCCTTTAAGCCCCTCCCCCTTTTGGCCCCGCCCCTTTAAGCCCTCCCCTTTATAACCTCTTAAGCCCCGCCCCTTTAAGCCCCTCCCCCTTAAGCCTTGCCCCTTAAACCCCTCCCCCTTAAACCCTGCCCGTTTAAAATCCACTTAAGCCCCGCCCCTTTAAGCCCCTCCCCTATACACCTCGCCCAATTAAGCCACGCCCCTTTAAGCCCCATTCCTCTTAACCCCTTAAACCCCGCCCCTTTAAACCTATTAAGCCCCGCCCCCTTTAAAACCCCTTAAGCCCTGCTCCTTTAATCCCCTTTAAGCCACGCCCCCTTTAAACCCCCTTAAATGACACCCCCTTTAATCCCCTTTAAGCCACGCCCCCTTTAAACCCCCTTAAATGACACCCCCTTTAATCCCCTTTAAGCCACGCCCCCTTTTAGACCCTCACCTTTAAGCCCCGCCCCTTTCAACCCCCTAAAGCCCCACCCCTTTAAACCCCTTAAGCCACGCCCCCTTTAAGCCACGCCCCTTTAAACCCCCTTAATTGACACCCCCTTTAATCCCCTTTAAGCCACGCCCTCTTTAAACCTATCACCGTTAAGCCCCGCCCCTTAAAACCCCTTAAGCCCTGCTCCTTTAAGCCCCGCCCCTTTAAGACCCTCTCCGTTAAACCACGCCCCCTTTAAACCCCCTTAAGCCCCACCCCTTTTAACCTCTTAAGCCACGCCCCATTTAATCCCCGCCCACTTAAAACCCCATTAAACCCCACCCCTTTAAACCCTTTTAAGCCCCGCCCCCTTTAAGCCCCGCCCCTTTAAACCCCCTTAATTGACACTCCCTTTAATCCCCTTAAGACCCGCCCCTTTAAACCCCTCGCCTTTAAACCCCTCGCCTTTAAGCCACGCCCCTTTAAACCCCCTTAATTGACACCCCCTTTAATCCCCTTTAAGCCACGCCCCCTTTAAGCCCCGCCCATTTAAACCCCTTTAATTGACACCCCCTTTAATCCCCTTTAAGCCACGCCCCCTTTAACCCCCCTTAAATGTCACCCTTTAATCCCCTTCAAGCCACGCCCCTTTAAGCCCCGCCCCCAATCCCCACCCATTTAAACCCTTTAAGCCCCGCCCTCCTTAAGCCCCGCCTTTTTTAACCCCTTAAGCCACGCCCCTTTTAACCCCGCCCCTTAATCCCCACCCATTTAAACCCTTTAAGCCCCGCCCTCTTTAAGCCCCACTTCTAACCTCTTAAAGCCACACCCCTTTAAGCCCCGCCCCAATCCCCACCCATTTAAACCCTTTAAGCCCCGCCTTTTTTAACCCCTTAAAGCCCCTCCCCTTTAAGCCCCGCCCCTTAATCCCCACCCATTTAAACCCTTTAAACCCCGCCCCTTTTAATACTTTAAGCCCCGCCCTCTTTAAGCCCGCCCCCTTTTAACCCCTTAAGCCCCGCCTCTTTAAGCCCCCTTAATTGACACCCCCTTTAATCCCCTTTAAGCCACGCCCCCTTTAAACCTATCACCTTTAAGCCCCGCCCCTTTAAACACCTCAAACTCCACCCCTTAAAGCCCCGCCCCTTTAACCCCCGCCCCTTTTAACCCCTTAAGCCCCGCCCCTTTAAGCCCCGCCCCTCACCTCCTCGCACAGGCCACACCCCCCGCCCCCTTCCTCCGGCTTTTGGCCCCGCCCCTTTTTCCTTTTAAGGCGCGGCGGCCCCGCCCCTTCCTCCTGCGTCACGTGAGGGGGCGGGGCCAGCTCGGGGGCGTGGCCCGGGGGGCGGAGCCAGCGAATCCGCAGCGGCAGCCGGCACCAGGGCGGGGCCCGCAGGAGGCGGGGCAGCACGCGCAGGGCGAAGCTGATTGGCTGCTCGCCGCGGCGCCGAGCCGGCGCGGCCAATAGGAGGCGGCGGGAGGAGTTGGGGTGTTGCCACGCCCACTCGAACTGGCGGGAAAAGGGGCGGGGCTTGAAGGAGGGGCGGGGTTTAATTTGGGTGGGAGGGGTTAAAGGGGGCGGGGCTTAGTGGGTCATTTAAATATGGAGGGACTTAATTTAAAAGGGTTTAAATTGGTTTAATGAGTTGGGCGGGGCTTAAGTGGTCATTTAAATATGGAGGGATTTAATTTAAAAGGGTTTACATTGGTTTAATGAGGTGGGCGGGGCTTGAGTGGTCATTTAAATATGAGAGGGACTTAATTTAAATGGGGATTAAATTGGTATAATGAGGTGGGTGGGGCTTAAGTGGTCATTTGAATATGGGAGTGACTTAATTTAAATGGGGTTTTAATTGGCTTAATGAGGTGGGTGGGGCTTAAGTGGTCATTTAAATATGGGATTGACTTAATTTAAAAAGGATTAAAATTGGTTTAATGAGGTGAGCGGGGCTTAAGTGGTCATTTAAATATGGGAGGGGTTTAAAAGGGGAAGTTTTAATTGGTTTAATGAGGTGGGTGGGGCTTAAGTGGTAATTTAAATATGGGATTGACTTTATTTTAAAAGGATTAAAATTGGTTTAATGAGGTGGGCGGGGCTTAAGTGGGTGGGGATTAAGTGGTCATTTAAATATGGGATTGACTTAATTTAAAATTAAAATTGGTTTAATGAGGTGGGCGGGGCTTGAGTGGTCATTTAAATATGGGAGGGACTTAATTTAAAAGGGTTTAATTTAGTTTAATGAGGTGGGCAGGGCTTAAGTGGTCATTTGAATATGGGAGTGACTTAATTTAAATGGGGTTTTAATTGGCTTAATGAGGTGGGCGGGGCTTAAGTGGTAATTTCAACATGGGAGGGGCTTAAAATGGGGAGGGTTTTAATTGGTTTAATGAGGTGGGTGGGGTTTAAGTGGTCATTTAAATATGGGATTGACTTAATGTAAAAAGGATTAAAAGTGGTTTAATGTGGTGGGCGGGGCATAAGTGGTCATTTAAACATGGGACGGGGATTAATGTAAAAGGGGTTAAAATTGGTTTAATGAGGTGGGTGGGGCTTAAGTGGTCATTTAAATATGTGAGGGACTTAATTTAAAAGGGTTTAAATTAGTTTAATGAGGTGGGCGTGGCTTAAATGGTCATTTAAATATGGGAGGGACTTAATTTAAAAGGGTTTAAATTGGTTTAATGAGGTGGGCGTGGCTTAAGTGGTCATTTAAATATGGGACGGGGATTAAAGTAAAAGGGGTTAAAATTGGTTTAATGAGGTGGGCGTGGCTTAAATGGTCATTTAAACATGGGACGGGGATTAAAGTAAAAGGGGTTAAAATTGGTTTGAGGTGGGTGGGGCTTAAGTGGTCATTTGAATATGGGAGGGGTTTAAAAGGGGGAGGGTTTAAATTGGTTTAATGAGGTGGGCGGGGCTTAAGTGGTAATTTCAACATGGGAGGGGCTTAAAATGGGGAGGGTTTTAATTGGTTTAATGAGGTGGGTGGGGCTTGAGCGGGCATTTAAATATGGGATTGACTTAATTTAAAAAGGATTAAAATTGGTTTAATGAGGTGGGCGGGGCTTAAGTGGTCATTTAAACATGGGATGGGGATTAATGTAAAAGGGGTTAAAATCTGTTTAATGAGGTGGGCGGGGCTTAATAAATAAGGGTTTAAAAGTGGGAGGGACTTAATTTAAATGAGTTTAATGATGTGGGTGTGGCTTAAGTGGTCATTTAAATATCCAAGGGTGTTAAATTAAAAGGGGAGGGATTAAAATTGGTTTAATGAGGTGAGCGGGGCTTAGCAAAATTATGTTTAAAAGTGGGAGGGGCTTAAATGCAAATGAGGGGTTCAATGAGGTGGGTGGAGCATATTTTGTAAATATTTAAAAGTGGGAGGGGCTTAAATTTAAATTAGTTTAGTTAGGTGGGTGTGGCTTAACTGGATGGGAATTAAAATGGGCGGGGATTAGAGGAAATTAATTTGGGTTTAATGAGGTGGGTGTGGCTTATGTGGGTGGGGTTTAGAAGTGGGCGGGGCTTACATGCAAATGAGGGGTTAATGAGGTGGGCGGGGCTCACCCGGAGGGCGGCGACGTCGGAGGGGAAGCCGTGGACGAAAAGTTCCATTTCCCTTTTTTTTTGAGGGAAAAGGAAAAATTGGTCAAACGGCCTCAAAATTCACCCGAAACTTGTGAAAAATTTAATCGAATGGATCGAGGTTGAAACTAATTAGGAATTGGTCAACCCAATTAATTTAAATTCCACATCAAAAGGATTTTAATTGCCTCAAATCCACTTTAAACCTCCCCAAATCCTCATTTAATCCCATTAAATCCCCCAAAATCTGCGATTAATTCCCCCAAAAATCCCATTTAAACCTCCCAAAATCCCCTTTAAATCCTCTCAAATCCCCCTTTAATCCCTTCAAACCCCCCAAAATCCCCTTTAATTCCTTCAAATCCCCCAAAATCCTCTTCAAATCCCCCAAATCCACATTTCATCCCATTAAACTCCCCACGAAATTCCCATTTAAACCCCCAAAAATCCCATTTAATCCCCATTTAATCCCTTTAACCTCCCCAAAATCCCCTTTAAATCCGCCAAAATGCTCTTTAAATCCCAAACCCCCCTTTAATCCCATTAAAGCCCTCCAAAAATCCCATTTAAATCCCTCCAAATCCCCTCTAAATCCTTTTAAATCCCCCTTCAACCCCTTCAAATCCCCCAGAAATCCCCTTTAATCACTTCAAATTTCCAAAAATCCACTTCAAACCCCCCCAAAATCTCCTTTAAACCCCC